CTGACAAAATATACGACGAAATAACGACAAGTGATTCAATTTTAGATATATTTGAATTTAACTGTTAATTAATTCATTGATGGATGTAGCCGTTAACTACGTGCTAGGAAATCATAATGAAGAAAAGAGAATTGAAACTTTCTATGTTTTTTACCACTTTTATTTGTAATTACCGTTATTGCAGTTTCGTCCTATAAGGACATTTTCAACCTTATACATCAGTTGTCAATTGTTCCAGAGTCCATTCAGCGTCTATGGTCGTTCACCTTCAGTTCCTGGGTCAGTTGAATGTTGTACAAGTCACAACGCAAAATTCGCCAAGTTGTGGTCTGGGAAAGGCTGAGTTCTTGTGAGCAGCACGAAATCGACTGCCTCGGATTCTCCTGCACACTCTCACAGACAGCGACAAAGTTTTCGGCATATCTTGCGTTTCGTCAATATACGGGTGTTGGTCGATCTTCACTGAACCAGTGGACCCAAATTTATTCACCACATTGCGAATAGTCCCCTCGGTAGGTCGATTATGGTGATCGTAAAATGGGCAAAGCGCGCGCTACGTTGCCCGAACAGAATACTCATTTGGAAAATCTAATTTTATTATTTGCACGTGTTGTTGAATGGTATATCCATCAATGGTGATTTTGCAAAACAGACTGAGTGAATGACAACAGATTTGACAAATGTTATTTCAACAAGATAGCCATTATCAATTGTCCTGTTGGAAGACCCGTTATAAAATCTGGAAGTAGAAATGTCACAAAAATTCGTATGATAGAATAAATAACACTGGAATTTCCATGGTAAAATCTAACGGAATAAACAGTAAACTGAAATGAACGGTCTGTGAAATGGTATCAATTGGGTTGACTTCATAGACAAAAAGGAAGTTCAAATCTGTTGACGTTGCAAGATACTCGATAGCTTCTGTTTCACAAACCATTTTTTTTAAATGTAGTGTATACGTTCAATTCCTAATGAAGCTTTTCTTCACGATTGAAGAACTCTACTTATTACATGAGACTACTGTAATTTTAACTTCAGATGTTTCCATGCAAAACCATTCAGGATTTTTTTGTTCTTTTAGAATCCCAACCGTTCATTGCTTTACACATTTCGTTTCTTCAAGTTCTTCCAGATTATAAAAATGTATCAGTCTCTCAATAAACCTGATCTTCTTCAAGGTAAATATATAACTTCTCAGGTATTCGTACCTATTGAAAACTTTAGAAGCTACACATAAGTATCGTTAATTCACACAAGAACATATCTTTGATTTCATTATGGAACTATGAAGGTTTATCTAAAACTTGAAAATATACGTGTAAAACATTTGTCATATTTAACATCAGTCATATCTAACACCACTCAAGTTAATTTATCAGTATAAAACAAAATGAAAATTTTGATTTTGAACTGGAGTGTTGCAAATTATTCATAATGTTATTACCAATATACCATAATATTATATTTTTCTAATTCGCCATAATAAATTGATGCAAGAAAACGTAAAAAAAATATTTTTTTGTCCCATTTATTCTACCAATACTCACATCAATGTTATCAACCAATATTTTACAGAGATCGTTCTCCCTTACAAACAAAAATCACTCTTTTGACATATGTGATGGAACCTATACAGTTTCACCAAACATTTTAAGAAACCGTGATACGTATTACCCAATAGCTTTGGTATTGAGCATACCTGAAGTGAGTTGAGTAGATATGAATCTGACAATCAATGTTCATTTAAATACATTAGTTTACATAGCAAGGGAATACATGACAAATTGATTTTTGAAATGAGTATAACAAATTTAAAGAAATTCAATAAAATGAGCCTCGTGAAGAAATAACATCATGAGTATTTTATGAATCTACCAATGTGGAACTACATGGACAAATCGCAAGGAATACTTACGAAATTATGCGAGAAGAACAAATACTTGTCATGAATATGTTTGAATAGACTTAACGCATGTATCTCAATATATTGAAAACGGTAATGATGTCTTCAATTATGAAATCTTAAATGATCAGTTCCATTACTTAAAAGACGGTTAACCCGCAAGACGATAGTTAAAAGATGAATCAAACAACCATTGGATTGTAAGAAGAGCAACTCAACTAAGTAGTGAACGGCGAAAACGCCGTCTATGGGATCTAGCACCACTAATGTGTCGAAACTACAGTGTCTGGTATCGTTTTTGGGCTCTGGTTTCATCAATCTCAACTAGGTCTGAACAAATATGATCAACACCCAGAAAAAATGTACAAACCTTTCTATAAAGTTATCTATGAAACTGCTGCCTCTATGAAGATGCACTGAATTTAGAAGGTCTAGTATCTCGTATTATATTTTCAAGAATTCATATGTCCTATACCTATAATTAACTCATACAGGGTGTTTCCCCAATGTGGTGAAATACTGTGAGGGCATGATCAGGAGCTAATTTCTATTAAAGAAATAGCTTCGATTAGATGCAAATGATTAGGTCCAGTGGCAGCTCAAGATACAATTTGTTATAATCTGTAACGCCACTGGGTTCAAAATGTTCACTTTTAAAAATGGACATTCACTCGTTTTTTATAACGAATTATTGCCAAGTCCTCTTGAGTACTCATCAACCCGCTTTCGAGATCAGCTGAGAATAATATTTCTAGTGTTAATTCACCAGCAAGGTAAACAGGTGAATTCTATGCCGAATTTTTGCGAGAATATCCACCCATTTTGTTAGAAGAAGTACCCGCACTTATTAGAGTCAGCACGACGGGGTTCCAATTTAATGTTTTTGCTAATCAGCATCTCGACATCAACTATCCTAATTGCTGGATTGGACGTGCAGGACTTCAAAATTGGCCAGCTCACAGTCCTGATACGAATTCTCTAGATTGTCATTCATTGAGTCACTTAAAGGCTCTTGATTATAAAACTTGTGTACTAGCTGTGAATGGATTGAGGAATTGAATAATCGACAATTGCAATGGTATAAGGAATACTCCAGGTATCTTTGAAGGCATCAGAAAATGAATGACAAATCGATGGTTTGTATTTTACTTTCGGTTTTCATTTCATGTTGTCATGGATAGCTTTTAGAAAGAGTTAAATTGATTTTTTTCTCGAAACGAAGCTAGAAATGAAGAAAACAAAAAATCGAAAGGTTTTATTTTCAATAACTTGATCTGAAAAACATGAATAACTACAAGAAACAAGGCAGTGACGTACTATTTTTCTCAATATTACTGGCTGTGGTGCGCACTGAGATTCCATTCGATCTAATGATTTCAATATAGCTTATTCCTTCTGATAGCTGTTCCAAATCATTTCATTAGTTTGGAGTTCCATTGTAACCAATATTGAGTATGTATGTTGACATTATAAACATTTAAAATGATTCACGTATTCTTCGACAGAATAGAAGCAAAAACTCAAAAGATAATTTTTTAATGTTTTTTTGAATTTTGAGGTTGAAATTCAGTGTGTTCGTTTGTGATTAACTTGAACGATAGCGGTTTGTCTGAAATTTGTTACAATGTCTGGTATCATAGTCATGGAGGTCTGATTGCTTGATTAATGACGTTGATTTGTTATGAATTTCTATGAGAACATTGTACAAAAATAATGCATTATTCTCAATTTCAAAAACAGAGGTAGACAATGATCCATATAACCAGAATTAGTAATTATTCTGGAAGCTTTTTTCTGCAATTTAAAAATTTTTACAGCCCCAGTTGAGTTGCCCCAGAGTATAACACCAAAGCAAATGTGAGAATGGAAAAGGTGTATCAAAACTAGTTATATTTCTCAACTGACGCAATAAAAAAATTGTTCTAGATAATTTTTTACTCAATTGGTCAATATGACAGGTCCAAGTGAGAGTGCTATCGACAACTAACCCGAGTAATTTAACACTGTTTGCACTTGATGTAGCGGCAGAGCTTGCTGAAAACTATTACTGTTGCAGTTGTATAAGTATGTTGCAGTTGCATAAGTATGTGTAAGGCACATTTTTCCTATGGAGTGAAAATATATTGGGGAACAATCCTCCACGTTCTCAATCCAAAGGAGTGAGGAATTACATTCAGAATAAATGTCCAATTTGTGGAATTATGGAGATTTCACGCTGAGCGAGTCTTCTCAAATATGTCAATAAGCTTGTAAAATAAATTTTATATTAGCTGAATTCTAGAAAGGGGACTCAAGAATAAACATTTTCATTTTTGTTTATATTTGAGTTGCCTTCAACCATGCTTCAATAAATCATCTCTCTAATTTATAAATATCAAATTGAAGGCGATGACCAGGTGCCATCAGTGCTGTTATGCTGAACCACTGAATTGTCCCCAAAAGAACAAGTCTGAAAGAAAAATCAATTACATCTTTGCCCACGAGGATGTCATCTATGGGATCAACAGAATACTCAATTCTCGAATATTAAAGATGAACGAGGCTCCTGAAGGCGATCAGTTGCAAAGCTAAGCTTCAACAGCGCTGTTTCGACTCAACAGGTATATCAGTGGAGCTAGGCTGATCCTCTGAATTGTCTTGAAAAAATGTCTGAGGGTAAAGGCAATGACATTTTCCCCACGAAAAGACTATATCCTTGAATTTCAAAGATTAACGAGGCTATAAAGATGACATTAATAAGCCTGACCTCAAGACACATGTGGAAAAGATTGTATTCAGTTTTAAGAAGTCAAATATCGCAGCAATCCTTTATGCTTGAAATATTTCTTCTCCAGCTTGTCCCAGTCCATCAATATTGAAACAACTTCTATATTTTTGGACGAATTCATCCCATACAAGCAACAATTGAAAATTAAACAATTAACAAGAAATAAAAATTGAAATTACCTACTCTGAGAAAATACAAACATAATTTGCAATCATTTTTTCAATCAATCGATGTATTTCTAACTCATGTTTGAACAAACCAGTTTCTAAGGTCAATCATGTTTCAGAAGTGAATCCAAATATACATTCTTCTACCTGATTCTAATGTCAAAATTAGGTGGGGACCAACATTCCAAATTCTAAGGAAACATATAAATTAGAAAAGTCAGATTCATCCTCACATCTTTTGCTAATAGCATCATCAAAATGAAAGTGGTGAGTAGCATTGTGAATATATTTTCTTACAATCAATTACGTATTATTTTTCATTTAGTAAGTGTCGATTCTGAACAACATAAAAGTGATGATTGTCAAACCCTTGAATGTTTGTCAAATGGACTCATTTCATCCACTAGAATATAAGAAAAAATATAGTAAAGACGGAAATTTGAAATATAGCATCTATCATCATTGAAAATCCCTATTAAAATTCACTAATTAGATTCACTTTGGATTTTACGAAACCGCGACACGTGTTTCGCTATACAATAACTTACCCAAGCAAGCTTTGATTGAAAATGGACACGCGCATGTTCGTATGAACAGGCCTATGAAAATCTCTTACGGATTTTCATCAAGTATTGGCCGATTCTATCACATAATTAATTTTTACTTCATTCATTTTCAGATCGCCCTTTTCTTTGTCGTCATCGCAGTAGCTGCAGCTGCCCCACCAGCCGTTAAGGTAGCCAGCGGAGCTTCAAAAGATGCTATAATCGTCCGTTATGACAGTGACAACATTGGTGTTGGTCCATATGCTTATGCGTAAGTTACTTTAATAACAATTTTTTTCAATAAGATAAGATGAGTTAAGATAATTTATTTCACCACGTTACATAATAAAATGTTTGTAGCAAGTCAAAAATTAGCATGAAAGTAATTTTTTAACAATCATAATATTATAAAAACAAACGAGAAACACAAATACAAAAATATAAGAATAAAATTGAGTATGTATGTTGACATTGTAAACATTAAAAATGATCCACGTATTCTTCGACAGAATAGAAGCAAAAACACAAAAGATAATTTTTTATTGTTCTTTTTGAATTTTGACGTACTAAGAATTTTGAAACTATCGAGAAGTTAGTTGTCAAGGGTTGAAATTCAGTGTGTTCGTTTGTGATTTACTTAAACGCTAGCGGTTTGTCTGAAATTTGTTACAATGTCTGGTATCATAGTCATGGAGGTCTGATTGCTTGATTAATGACGTTGTTTTGTTATGAATTTCTATGAGAACATTGTACAAAAATAATGCATTATTCTCAATTTCAAAAACAGAGGTAGACAATGATCCCTATAACCAGAATTAGTAATTATTCTGGGAGCTCTTTTCTGCAATTTAAAAAATTTCACAACCCCAGTTGAGTTGCCCCAGAGTATAACACCAAAGCAAATGTGAGAATGGAAGAGGGAGAAATATGTTATTTTCAGTGTATCGAAACTAGTTATATTTCTCAACTGACGCAATAAAAACATAGTTTTACTAAATTTTTTACTCAATTGGTCAATATGACAGGTCCAAGTGAGAGTACTATCAACAACTAACTCGAGTAATTTAACACTGTTTGTACTTGATGTAGCGGCAGAGCTTGCTGAAAACTGTAACTGTTGCGTTTTGTCTGTATTCAGTTTGAGTCGATTTGTCACGAACCAACTTTCCGCCTTCTCATTGACTTTCTTTGATATTCTAGATAGTTCAATAGAATTTTTGTCAGAGTAAATAAATGTAGTGTCATCGGGAAACAAAACAGATTCATATGGATTCATGAAGTCACTAATGTCATACACGTAAATTATGAATAGAAGTGGTCTATAGTGGACTATAGTAGGACTATAGTGATCTACATAGCATTCACGAAAGTGATACTTTTCCACATGAGATGGCAGTTGCATAAGTATGTGTAAGGTACATTTTTCCTATGGAATGAAAATATATTGGGGAACAAACCTCCACGTTCTCAACCCAAACGAATGAGGAATTATATTCAAAATAAATGTCCAATTTGTGGCATTATGGAGATTTCACGCTGAGCGAGTCTTCTCAAATATGTCAATGAGCATGTAAAATAAATTTTATAATAGCTGAATTCTAGAAAGGGGACTCAAGAATAAACATTTTTATATTTGTTTATATTTGAGTTACTTTCAATCATGCTTCAATAAATCATCTCTCTAATTAATAAATATCAAAGTGAAGGCGATGACCAGGTGCCATCAGTGCTGTTATGCTGAACCACTGAATTGTCCCCAAAAGAACAAGCCTGAAAGAAAAATCATCCCCACGAGGATGTCATCTATGGGATCAACAGAATACTCAATTCTCGAATTTCAAAGATGAACGAGGCTCCTGAAGGCGATCAGTTGCAAAGCTAAGCTTCAACAGTGCTGTTTTGACTCAACAGGTATATCAGTGGTGCTAGGCTGATCCTTTGAATTGTCTTGAAAAAAACATCCTGAGTGAAGGCAATGACAGTTTTCCCCACGAAAAGACTGAATCCTTCAATTTCAAAGATAAACGAGGCTATAAAGATGCCATTAATGAGCCTGACCTCAAGACACATGTGGAAAAGATTGTATTCAGTTTTAAGAAGTCAAATATCGCAGCAATCCTTTATGCTTGAAATATTTCTCCTCCTGCTTGTCCCAGTCCATCAATATTGAAACAACATCTATATTTTAGGAACGAATTGATCTCTTATTGGTTATTACCTAACAATCATGAAATAATACTAGAAAATTACTAGAAATTTCACTGAATTTTCAGAAGTTACACTAAATAATGAAAGAAATGGTTTTGGTATAAAATTGGAAAGATATTCAATATTTTGAATAATTTCAATTATTCATAATTTGTAATACTTCCCTAATAAATAAAGATTTTTCAATAATTCATTCATTCAAATGATTGCATGCCTTAATAACATACTATTGGCTTCTTTACAGTGATAGTTCAAAAATAATGTTTTCATCATATACTTTTGAAGATGCAGAAACTTGATTTCTCCATGAAATGTTTTTTATCAATACTCATTATGAACCAAACTGATTCTATATCTGACTTTCCTAGTGTCGAAACCAGTGACGGACAGGTAAAAGAAGAAAGGGGTGAAGTTGTCGACGCAGGAACCAAAGAGGAACACATCGCAGTCCAAGGACGATTCAGCTACCCAGGTCTTGACGGTGTTCTCTATGAAGTAGTCTACGTTGCTGACAAAGACGGATTCAGAGCCCAAGGAGCCCATCTTCCAGTTGCCCCATCTGCATAATAGTTGAAAGAAATACTATAATTTTAGGTTAAATAAAACATGAAAACCCAAGCTATACTTAATAATTTTTCTCACAACAATGAATCTAATGTACATTAGGCAAAATATTTTTGTGTGAATTATATGCGGGAGAATTTGAATAATAACATTCAGTGATAATTGGAATCCGCAAAGTAAAGTGACAATAAAAAAAATTCAGATACAAAATGGCAAAAATATTCTATGACTATGAAATAAAGAAAATCTTCTGAGGAAAATAGATACAACACACAGTCAAAATATCAAACATTCAACCAGAAAGTTGAATATGATTGCTCAGCAAAAAACTATCAAAGCATTAATTCAAGTGCCTATATACCGGCGTTGGGACTATTAGAGTTTCAATAAAGAACTTCGTGCAATTGTAGGAAAGGTTCACCCAGTCTAAAAAAAGTATAATGAATTGTCTTCATGAGCTAAAACGATTTGCAATACTTACAGCTAAAAATTTTGAAAAAAGTATCACTGATGAACCCTGTGCTGGAAGAGAACGAATACTCAGATTTGTTTGTGGATTCAACAATAAATCCAATTGAAAATGAACAATTAACTAAAAACCAATTGACTACAAACAACATCACCAATTCAACAACTTTCAACTCAAAAGTTACCGACACAATTACCACTATTTGTCAAGAAATTTACGTAAAATCAAAAAGAGATATTGGAAATAAGATGAACACTTTTCAAAACCCCAATTGACTACAAACAACATCACCAATTCAACAATTTGCGACTCAACAATCACCGACACCTTCCACAACATACGTAACTTATATTCCTGGAGAAAGTAAAGACGAATTGGAAATAAAAAAAACATTGCATTCATAAAATGCCTCGTTCTTGTCATGGAATTTATATTGGCGGACTTTCAAGACCATTGAAATGCGTGAGAATGAACATTGAGATTATATAAGAAGCAGCAAGTAAGAGGCTCAAAATTGTCGAAGCGCATTTTGAAATCAGACGGCGAACATCGAGTTGAATGATACTGGATGAGGATGTTTGCAAATGAACCCCACTCTAAGAGACGTAAGTTCAAAGAATCAGCATATATCTTCATATCTGGAAAGAAGTGTATTTCAGATATCTCTTCAGAAATAGATCGTTTTTGACTACCCGTTTCGAAGAAAGATGTGGATACTGACAAAATTGAACATCGATACCAATAAGTTCGTTTGAAGTAATACAAAAAAGGTTACCCAAATCAATTATGATGGAAAATGCAAGATATCCCTCAGACTTGTTATATAAACAATACAAAGTCATGGATATGAGGCAATTATTTTATTATTGTATGAATGTGAAATTGCACTCAACCTGAATTGTTATACGACCCACACACGATTATATCACACACCGAATTAACTTAGCAACACTACCACAAGTGAAAAAATCGTTATCCCAAAGGTTATATTCATATATTGCAAAAAAAATATATAATATTATTCCTGATACAATCAAAATTGACAGAAACAAATTTAAATTCGAAAGAGAATTGAAAAAAATATATTCTGGGAAGCGATAGAAAAATTATAAGCGATCTTATAGAAATAAAATCATGAAGTAGCTGAATAAAATAGATAGACGCACAATTACAAATATCAATATCTTACTATACCTAGTCAAATTCATTCAATTGCATCTACATTTGGCCTGGTACTCATATTTTATTTGCTATATTTCATATATATACACTGATATTCTACATGATATTTTTCTTTCATCTCATTTCATAAACTTCAATGTGTTACCTCAGATACTAGTCTATTTTTATCTAATATGATGTATACATACATATTAGTATTTACTTTCAACTCTCAATGAACTAATTCAACTCGCAATTATAACTTTCAACTCTACTTTTATTAATTTTTCATATCATTTCATAACCCCAAAAACATTTTATAGTTACATAGATCGTTGTCTGATTTTATTTGATATTATTTATACATATATATTCTCTTACAATACTCTCGTTATTTGTTTATAAATATCGAAAGATCACTTATCGATTACTACTTTGTTCATTGTAATTCCATTACTATTCATTATATTTATATGTATACTGAATATACTGAATGAAGTTCTATATATCGAACATTTCAACAATCAACAACATTGATATATTTATAATTTCAAAACTTCCTTGAGATCTATCGAATACATTTTGAAAATAAAACGAGGCAAAGAGAAAACTTCAAGATTCATTCGATTTCTATCCAATTCTGAAGAACAAGTCAGATTTTAGCCCCCGAAACATTAAGATAAGTATCTGCATTATTTCTTATGCAGTAACTTATTGAGGTGGAAACCAAAGAAGAAGTCGATGAAAAATTACAGTTTCGTTCCAGAAAGTCTCAACTTGACGTAATTGTTCAGAAGTTTCAAAGATATGATGCCCTCAGTCAATATTTCTCTTAATTTTTTTTACCAACTGAGGTACATTTCTTTACTGATAGTTTTTCATTGAATCAAATAAGTGACGTAACTGCAAAATACTTCGGGTAGACTTGAATATATTGTTACGCCACATTATACTATAAAATAAACTGCAGAAGGAACAATATTTGACATTGTTTTGGAATAGCTAACTGAAATCGAGTAGATCATATTGGTCGTCTGATTTACAAGAAAATTTAACTGGTAATTAATTAATTGATGGATGTAGCCGTTACTACCTGCTAGGAAATCATAATGAAGAAAAGAGAATTGAAACTTTCTATGTTTTTTACCACTTTTATTCATAATTACCGTTATTGCAGTTTTGTCCTATAAGGACATCAAATTTATATATTAAACTATTTCGTCCTATAAGGACATTTTCTGATGTTTGAAAATGAAAAACTAATTTATACATTAAACTACTTTAATATATAAGTTTAAACATTAAACTAGTTTAATATATAAGTTTATACATTGACCTAGTTTAATATATAAGTATATAAGTTTATACATTAAACTAGTTTAAAATATAAGTTTGAAATAAAAGTAGTAAAAAACATAAAAAGTTTCAATTCTCTTTTCTTCATTGTTGAATATTTTTTTTCTATGCATACAGATTTACTACACGAGGTTTTCAAGCTTATACTATACAAATTATTGTGTCGCACTGAGGTAACATTATTATCCAATCTCACTCAAGTTATTGGTGTTCTTTCATTTGGCTTGTACTTTATTGGTCCACCATTCTTCAACAATTATTTTCAACATATTTTCTTTTCAACAGGTGATACTTTTTAAAACTGAGGCATAAAGCAAAAATATTCCTTCAATTATAATATCTATTTATAGCCAAGGAATTCATATCAAATTGAAAATTAGTGATAGCATCTTCTATCACCATTCACAACACAAATTCAAATAAAACGTATTTGATTTTCAGATAAAATATTTAATATATAATTAATATTTGCTAACGAATGCTGAAAGTGAACAATGAGATAAGGGTAATAGTTCAGAATACTAATAATATTCATTTATACATAATGTACCTATTACTTGATATAGTATTGTTTCATTGAAGAATAATTGCATACTCTTGGAAATGAATGCTGAGATTATGGACGATTTCATGAATACATTTGTTTTATAAATGAATTCAGTACAAGATGAGACGTTATATTTATACTTATGATGCACTGTTTGGAACCTTTGGTGTAGTAATGAATAATATTCATTACTACACTAAAGTTTTAACTGTTTTAACTACACCAACTGTTTCAATCTTCTTTAATGTTTTAATCTTCCTCTTTGAAGATGATCACCTGGTGATCGAAACACGTGTCGAGGTGTTAAAAATAACGATTTGGTGTTGGGAAAAAAATCCAGTAATATTCGTTATATTTATATCGAAAAAAACATGTAATCCAAAAACCATATTCAACAAGTAGAGAACTGGGCATGTCGAAAAAGAAACATATACTGAAAGGTATCATTAGACCCCTTATATTTTGATCAGAAATGATTTAAATTTGTGTGGCATGAATGTTTGCTGCCCAAACGTTGATGCTATGGATTGTTGGATTATTTTTATATATAGATCTCCAGCTTCCTAAAAGAACGTTTCCTGCAAGTGGCTGTCGATGGATACCATCAACGCTGGTGTTTCCCAGAGATCCATATTGTCTCCACCCCTCTTTTGATATATATCAACTAGTCATTGGAATCCAATATATTGCTTTGCTGACGACAGCACACTTGTCTCGTCATTCCAATTGGATTTTAGGATATCGGCTTCTGCAGATAACATCTTCACCGGCAGCAGGAGAATGCATATCTTATTGAGGATCTAGAAGTGATTTCGAATTGGAGTAAAACTAACCAGGTTCAATTCAATGCCACGAAAACTCAGGCATCGGTTTTCTCCAAAAAGATAAATGTCTCCGAATCGGATATAATAATGTGGGAACAGACAATTTCGCTTTCTGCTTCGATAAGTATGTTGTGGGTTAAAACGGATACCAATTTGTCGTGGCACAATCATGTCGCTGGAATTGCAAAGGCTGGAACACTTTTCTGAACCAGAAAACTGTACAAACCCCAGCAACTTCCGATGCTTTATAAAGCTTAGATCAGAACTTCTTTGGAGTATGATCACAAGTATTGTGCTCCGCCCCTAAGCATACCCTGAAGCTGCTGGATTATATCCAAAAAAGAGCCATCCGTCTGATTGGAGACACGAACATCACTCGCAACTTCGACAGTCTGGAACAGTGACGAAAGGTTGGAGATTTGTCTCTCTTCTATAGATACTTTCACGTGAGGTGTTCAAGTTCAAAATATGTTTTTTCCGTTAACCAACTATCGCACCTCTATGAACGATAACCCTCAGAAGTCAAAACTTGTGCGAGCTAAGGCCTTATGAGGTTTTACCTTTTAACGTGTAATTCCTAACATGGGTGACTTGGCACATTTGATTCCAGCAGCGGTAAATATCAGAAATACGCGACTGACTAGACTCATCGTTTTGAGGTTCAACTCAGTACATATCAAACTTCAATGTTTTAAAATTATTTCATTAGTAGAAATGCCATCCTGATAATATTTCTTCAAATGAATGTATTGTCCAACGATTCAAATCCAACGTGAATCACTACTTTCGCACAGGCACCGCTCTCAGAGCACTTAAGGGGTTTTTCCTTCCCATAAGAGGGCATCTGTAAGTCAGCTATACCTGAAAATTCATTAGATCCAATCTTTCAGGCCTTTCTTGTAGTTGGATTTGGTAAATTATTCGATCGTAAGCGTTTGCTGCTCAGATCGAATTTTCGTTACTCTACCATGGATTATTAATATTATGTATGAACACGCCTGAAGAAGCTATTGTATAGCGAAACCCGTGTTGCGGTTACATGAACTGTTCAGTGATAATTCTTCCTTGAAAACGTTATGGAAGTATTGAACAATTCCATTATATAACTCTAGCATTAATTTTAATGAGGAACTAGTTTTGGTCATCTATACTGTTCGTTACAAATTATTCGTACAAATTATTCGTACAATTCATATTATCATTCTCTAATAATAGACTCAATACAAGTTCAAATCAGTTTATCATCAATTTTTGAAAGGAATTACCATTAATTCAGACGAATCTTTCAATTTACATAATATCGTTCAGTGGTATTGATTACTATGAAAAGGTGTTCAGACAAGTTTGTAAGGTCAACCGTATATTGGTGGATCCAAATTCATAATCGTCAACTTTTTGCGACATCAAAAATGAGTGGGGGCTAAACAGAATACCAGTAAAATATATAAATTATTCAGAAAAGATTATTCTTCAGATAGTTTACTAACTCTCAAACAGCATCAATATGAAAGTGGTGAGTTTGAAATGCACAAATTATTTGTCTAATGAGTTCACACATTGTTTGTAATCGCTTATAAAAGTAGATTATGTGTTATTTCGAATACATGTTCAGCAATGTATTATTTTTTGAATAGTAAAGTAGGTTATAGATGATTGCCTTCAATTGAGAATTGAATTGTTGAATTTCATAAATGCCTAATTCTCAACAGTGAATAATAGAAACATTTTATTTGAATAGGATGAAATCAATGGAATGATTGTTATTCAAATAGTACACTGGTCACCTTTCAAATTTTCAAAAAGTATAAAAAATATTTCTGAAACGAATTATTTAATTATATTTCTGAAACGAATTATTTAATTATTTTTCATTTCGCCATGTGTAATAACGAATTTTTGAAACTGTTTTTCTACTTTCCAAGAGATTTCTGCAACACTGATTTCAGAAAGCTTCAACATCTTGAAATGTGATAATTGCTGTTCACAAATAAAAAATTGTTGAATGATCAGAGAATACTGGCAATGAGACATCAACACCATGTTTTACTTCGATTAAAATCAACTGTTTGATGTAACATTCGAGAGCTGCGTCTCAGGTTGTATTTTTCAATTTCGTTATTTTAAAGACTTTTGGCAAATTATTTGTTGTACGCTATTCAGCGTTAACTATCCTTCGAGCATCAGAACCAGTAGTAACAATTCGTCAAATGAAGCAGAAAAACAAGCAATCATTTTCACATATTTTTTTGAACGTCGGTCTAATTATTTTCATACAAAATAATAAAGTGTTTCGCAGTCTGATATTCAGAAAGGAACTGTTTATTCTCACATTATATCTTATGCCGGTATACTCCAACCATTTCACTCACGCCTTCAAAAAATTTTGGCCTCCCAAGCAATTTCGGTTGCCCATAAAAAAAACATCGCTGACGGATGCACGACCCTAACGTAAATCTATTGTAAGTAATCTTCTTCTTATGGTCCAGTCAGGCCAATCCTTGCATCGTGATCCATAAAAAGTTATCCTCATAAACTTGATTTTTTCAAACACTCAGTGTCAACTTTCATCTGTTGGTAGTTTATGGAAACATAAAGAGCAAACCTGGTAAAATAAAATGTTAAACACTATTTTTGTTTTTTCAACTGAATCAACTGAATTCTCAATTAGTAATGAATAAGTATTTTTTGAAAAGCTATAATTCATGTCAGGTCATAATAGAATAACTCTTTTTCCAGATCGCCCTTTTCTTTGTCGTTATTTCCGTCGCCGTAGCTGCTCCCCCAAGAGTATCAGGTGATGACTCAAAGCACGCTGTTATCCTCCGTTATGATAGTGACAACATTGGTGTTGGATCTTACAGTTACGGGTAAGTAAGAGTATTCATCAGTCAGCGCATAGACGTTATTTTAATCTAAATAGCAGTCATTATTGCTAATTAGTCATTTACTAAGTAAAATTTCAGCAAATAAACGGCTTAGGATGACGGAAGTCTAATAAATTGCTTTTCTTCTAGAGTTGAAACCAGTGACGGACAACAGAAGGAAGAAAGGGGAGAACTAGTTAATGCGGGATCCAAAGACGAACATATTGCAGTCCAAGGAAAATTCAGCTACCCAGGTCTTGACGGTGTTCTCTACGAAGTAGTGTACATTGCTGACAAAGACGGATTCAGAGCTCAAGGTGCCCATCTTCCAGTTGCCCCACAATAACTGACAATGCCATGATCACTTTTCATATTGGTTGATATTCAACATATTAAGTTAAATAAAAATCCCAAAAAAACTTCAATTGACTCATAATTATTTCTACTAATTAATTTCAAATACAAGTATGTTTCTTGGTTTTTCACATTTTATCTTCAATCGAGGACCGCCTGCCCGGTACTGACAATGCGCAATAGGCTCAAACAGCCTATTTTGAAGGTTATCTTCTATTAATTATCTAGGCAATCCTGCTGAGACGACAGGATGACTCGTCAAGCTCTGAGGAGTGCCAGAAGATGACAGTACTACCAACTGTCGAAAGCGCTCGCAGATAATTAATAGAAGATATAAAGCTATATATATGTATTGATACCAATACATATATATAGGCATGTTGGTTACGGAATATTACCTCAAAAAATTCCACAGAAGGTCTCAAAACAACCTTGTTATTTTTCTTACAAGAACCTATATCAGCTGCTTGATTTTCGAATGGAAACATAATTTTTTGCAATATTCTTTGAAGCATGTAGAGGAGAAGGTTCCGAACTACATGTATGTTACAACGTCATTTGTGGATTGAAGAGTGACAAAATTATGCCAAATAATAAATATAATTATAGTTTCACCTTCTGGGAAAGAAAATTTTTGGCTTTCCACTACTCCATCTTTCCCAAAAATTAATCACTCCTAAAAATATATTCCTATCAATATAGTTTCACCTTCGTTTCCCACAGATATTTATCTGAATAAGATAATCGAAAGGAATAAATTATATAGTATGTCATAGGTCGCAAAAAAGAAAACCTGGTATCAATAAGATAATTTTGGAAAATGTTTCTTCATTGGTCAACCAGGGCCTTTAGCCACCTCGTTCACCAGACTAAATGCCTCAGGATATTTTTTGAAATACTTCATTAAGACGATGTCTATATACATTCACCGATAGTGACATGAAACAATGGATCAGAGTGATTTTCCTAACTTCTCATTAGATACAGAGAACAACTTGAGTTCTCTTTCTGAAGAAGGCCCATCAGAAATATTCGAAGTATTCCTTAGTACAACAAAAAGAGATTATTTTCGATGTCAAAATTTTCAAATTTCCCTCGTCAAGAACATTTTTCTCAGTTCTTAATTATTATTTGAATGAAAAATCATAAATATTAGAGCTACTTCTTAAAACTTTCGTGAAAAATCCTTTGACTCTATCAATATCATACTTGCTTTACACACAATATAATTCAAAATAATATCTTAAAAGTAATCACAAAATTAAAACTGAAACCGATGCGACACGAGTGATGAAGAAACGTGCTAGTTGCCTTGGTTTTGTTGTATATAGTGAATCAATCTGAAAGTTGAAGTTATATTTTTGTTTTGTATTTCATTCAAGTTCAGGCCTCGATCTGGTAGTTGACATAAGTATGGGTTCCCCCAACCCATAAAAGTTCCACAATGTTCCAGAACAGTCTACACCGAGACTGTTCTAGAATGTTCCTTGATGACTTGATATGTTATAGGGTGTTCCCAAACGTTCCATACTATTCTAGAACATTGAAATATTGGTAGTCTAAACTCAAAATAAGCATTTATATTATTCACACATAATGAAATATTTAATTATATGAGTTCGAAATAAAACTTTTTTTGCTCTATCAAAGTGTCACCTATTTTAAAACAAAAACGGGAGATTAAGAAATGGAAGATATATACTCAGGTAATAAAACTAGTGAATGTTGAATCACCTTGTGAGAGATGACATTATTAGTCTATAATTTATTCCCAATTGAGATATCATATAAATTATAGAGTAGTAAATTACAGATTATTTATAGAATCAGTTGGATAATTTGGTAATATGACACCAATATGATTATTAAATTCCTGAAAGAATTTTTTGTGGTGTATATTACCATCCTAATTTGTGGTACCAACTGGTACTTGGATATCAAACTATATTTTTTAATGGCTATACCTGAGCATGTTTTGTTTCAATTTTTCACATTATGTGTAATCATATTCGATCGACGAAAATTTGAATTTCAGTTTGGTTCTTCGAGACTGGATATTTCCAATAATACCTCATTTAGAGATAAAGTCAAATCATTTGGTTCTTCGAGACTGGATATTTCCAATAACACCACATTTATAGGTAAAGTCAAATAGTATGGTCCTTCGTTGCCAATAAAGAGTAGCAATTTGGTAATACAAAGCCAGAACTATATCTGAATTGAAAACGATTCGCCGAAAAAAGAAACCAAAAAAATGCAGAAAATAATGCTGAAGCCGTTGAGAAAACAAACAGACCGGAAAAGGAGCATGTGCAAACTTATTCAATAGATCGACGGTAGATCCAAATGACCATGACAAATCTACCCGAGAATCAATGAATGCAGACTGCAAGAATAATTATTCTGTACATGGTAAATCTTATGAAAGCAAAAAAGTCAGCACAAGAAGTACTGTCATCAAATCTTAGATTTGGAACTTGCAATGAAACTAGCCCAAATTGGAGAAAATGAGTCAGTCTCTCCTCCGCAGGATAAAATTGGGTCAGATGGATACAAGGAGTCAGTGATAAGCGATGTTTCTAACATACAAAAGTGGATGACAGGAAGTACTCCGTGGGATGGTGACGACAAGGCAGGTATTCCCACACCAAAATATTGACTCAATCCCTATTAATATTGCCACAAAATGTTGACAGAGTAATTAACTTTTCACTCATCTAACTTTTACTAAAATAGCGTCCTATTCAAATCGAAATTCGAATTTCTATGTGCGTTGCGTTCTAACAATCAAAGGTTCAGCTTTACCAAGCCAAACGGTGAATGTTAGTGAGATTTCTAAACGTTATCCTATATAGACAACAGATTCAAGTCATTACTTGACGCTCAACCTCGACAATTCTACATGATCTTATCAAGGATCACTGGAAAATCGAAACTCATTCAGAAAAAGGAAAGTCTATGTTCAAAGAAGATCTACGTGCTCAATAAATTTTAGATACAACAATGAAAAGAGTTGGAAATGAGTATGAAACAGGACCTCTTTGGAAACAGATGATCTGGTTAAGCCCAATAGTAGAGACAATGCTCTGAAGAGACTTCATGGCACCGCAAGAAGACGAATCGTTTGCAAAAGAACTGTATCGAGAAAATACAGACATGGAAAGTTATATTTCTAAAGTTTATTCTGAAGAAATCAAATGTTTTGTGGACAGAATTTCATTCCTACCCCATTTCGGAATAACTAACCTAAACAAACCTAACAAATTACGAATCGTTTTTGATGCTTCTGCGAGGTCAGTGAGTTTAAATGATTTTCTGTTAACTAGACTTGATTGACTCTTATAATTCATTGCAAAACATTCTCGGTAATTTCCGTATAAAAAGTTTCCTTTCACTTCTGGCAATGTTTCTTAGGGTCGAAGTGAGAAAAAAAGATCGAATCCCTCCACGGATTTATACAGAGGAATGGAGTGAGAAAAACAATCAAATATATATTTACGAAGTTACGAAGCAAAAACCTCGGATAGTTCATGAATTAGAGAATCAGACAGACAGGTAATTCATCTTCAGAAGTGAATTTATTACATTTTCAACAGGATGGGGCAACCCCCCATTATGTATTTCCAGTTAGACAATGGTTTGATAATGATTGTGCTAATCGGTGGATTGAAAGGAGATGTCCTATTGAATGGCCTCCTAGATCCCATGAAATATCGCCTCTGGATTCCTTTTTCTGGGCCACCTCGAATCTGTTGTTAAATCTGTTTGAAAAAATATGTTTTTCGGTTAACCAGCTGTCATACCCCTATGAATGACAACCCTCAGAAGTCGAAACTTGTGCGAGCTAAGGATTAACGAGGTCTTACCTTTTAACATGTGATTCCTAACACGGGTTGGACGATAGCAAGAGAAAATTGAGACTGGGGCTTGAACCATCGACCAACACGGCAGTCAAGTCGAGTAAGTGAACAAAGCACCCACGTCGAACAGCCTGGCTACCGACTCATTAGAGCATCTGAAGGAAAGAATAATCCAAGAATGCCGAACTATTTCCAGAGAAACATTTGCCAATGTACGACAAGAGTTTGGAAATAGACTCTATTATTGTCTTGAAGAGGATGGAAATCATTTTAAACATTTTTTAAATTATTAATAGGAAATAAAATTTTAATTTAAATTAATACAAAAACTAATACATCAAATGTAGCTCTGTAGGGTACCATTGAAGAGCATCCTTAAGAGCTTTTAGATAAGGTATCACAACTAGGGGATTGTCATTTAAGACTATAAAGTTGAGGTGGCTAAGGGCGAGGGGGTAAGTGAAAACAAGTTAGCTATTACATCTGTTTGCTCCCCCTTCTCTATTATGGAAGTTGTTTTCAGCGTTGGTTACCATGTTATACTGAAAATTACTTTCATGTTTCTATTTTGAAGATATCATTACAAAATTGAACAAATTAGAATGAACTCTCATCGATGCCATAATTTCTTTCTTCTATGAGAAACGTTCATTGAGTTTGGAGTTATACATTCTAGAGGAGTAACCAGTTTTCAGAATAGAAAGAAGTGTCCTCAACCCACAATACAATAATTCAGTCATGTTCCTAAGAGATCAAGCACATGCCGCTTCACATTTCTTCCAAAATATTCAACTTTTTCACAAGAATCAATTATCGAATCGTGTTTCCCAATTGAGGATTCGTTTTGCTATTTGACTGAAAAATTCATATTGTTATTTAGGCCATCGGCCACATTAGTCGATGCCTTGCTGAAAAAAATATTAATAACAAATATGATGCAAGAACCCCAATTCAAGAGAACTCGAAACAGTTTTTGAAATTTCAAATATTATAAATAGTACTTTGTTCATCTTGTCATACACCAGCGGTCGCCAACCTGTCGATCGCGAGCTACCGGTAGCTCGGGGAGGCAATTCTGGTAGCTCTCACAACGATTTTAATTTAAAAAATACAAACTGCAAAAATCAGAGAAGCTTCCGAAAATTCCACAAAAAAATCTAATTGTCATAATATTAAACATAAACAGCGGCAACGTTGC